TTAATGTGGAGTATCCGTCCCCCTCTAGGCTCGGACAAAAATTCTATGTAGACCCCGTATAAAACGGGATCGGGTAGTTGTTTCCCGAGTCGAGATTTTGCCCTTCGACATAGCTTCGTCTGGGGATCCTCTCTGCCCGGAGGCATAGAGTCTGACCAGCACAGCTGGAGACGAATCTCCAACACTGTATTTATGTGAATGTGGACATACACATTATCGTCCGTAGGTATGCTACAACACACACACACACTCACACACACACGCACACACACACATGCACACACACACACACACACACTCACACACACACGCACACACACACACACATGGGGACATACACATTATCGTCCGTAGGTATGCTACAACACACACACACACTCACACACACACACATGGGGACACACACACACACACACATGGGGACATACACGTCCGTATTATCGTCCGTTATCGGTATGCTACAACACACACACACACACACACACACACACACACACACACACACATGGGGACATACACATTATCGTCCGTAGGCTACAACACACAACACACACACACACGCACACACACACACATGCACACACACACACACACACATGGGGACATACCATTATCGTCCGTAGGTATGCTACAACACACACACACACACACACACACACACACACACACACACATTATCGGGGGACATACACATTATCGTCCGTAGGTATGCTACAACACACACACACACACATGGGGACATACCCATTATCGTCCGTATATATGCTACAACACACACACACACACACACACACACACACACACACACACACACACATGGGGACATACACATTATCGTCCGTAGGTATGCTACAACACACACACACATGGGGACATACCCATTATCGTCCGTAGGTATGCTACAACACACACACACACACACACACACACGCACACACACACACATGGGGACATACACATTATCGTCCGTATATCGTCCGTATATATATATACATCACACACACACACACACACATGGGGACATACCCATTATCGTCCGTACACATGCTACACACACACACACACACACATGGGGACATACCCATTTTCGTCCGTATATATGCGTCCATCACACACACACACACACACACACACACACACACACACACATGGGGACATACACACACATTATCGTCCGTAGGTATGCTACAACACACACACACACACACGTCCGTATATATGTTGGGGACATAGAAAAGTCCGTGGTAAAACACTCACACACACACACACACACGCATATGTTGTAGAAAAGTTGAAACACTCACAGGCAAGTGCACACGAAACATACGTATCTCCACCGTTCCAGGTTGTAAGCTCTTTTATTCGATATAGTTATATATGTATCCGAAGGAACGAATTAGTAGGAAACACTAATTATTTGGCATTTGCCAAAGTAATTCTTACTCATTTTCAAATTTCCCGAAGTAACACCGTGAATGGTATATTCAGGCAGTTGTGAGAATTGTACTCCCTTAATGTGCATAGTGACCGCCACGTCAGCGCAGAACCCGTGATGGATAGCGAACCATATGCAGGATATACAAGTATATTGCCCAGCAGGAAGTAGTTATTTTTAAGCTGAAGTACCGTGTGCGCATGACCAGCTATTTCCTTTAAACTAAGTGTTAAAATGCCAGGTCCAAGCGAGGTGGAATAATAGGTGTAAGATCCTGAGATCGTAGGATTTATGTTGCAGTTTCATTCTCTTAGATGCTCGAGCCTCAGTACGTAGGAATATTTCGCCTCTTAAAAGAAGTGTCCCTGCTTTGCTGCTGAACTGGATAGATTGAAGTTAAGGTACTGTACACAAGATAATTGACTGCTTTGTATTTTACAGCTTATCAACCTTTTACAGTTTATTTAAAACCAGAAAATATATTTACATTGCAAGAATTTTTGTTTTAGATCATAATGATATCCTGATGAAAATCCTACTATTTAGCCCATAGCGAGGGGCGAGATTTTCCAAAAATACGTACGTGATTATAACGAATCCGAATAGAATTAGAATTCGTTTGAACGGTTATCCATTACACCCTCCCGTATATCCAAGCTTATTGTAACCTTAATGGTGTTACCAATCTGTCTCCCACGTAAGTACTGACAAGGCTCAACGTTGCTTAACTTTGGCGACCGTACGCGAACCATTGACACACATGACGTTTAGAGTTATGATACTTATATTTCTGCAAATAATTTTTTTAACCGTTTCCTTTTGTGCGGTCGTAAATGTGCAAATATTTCTGAGAGCAACGAAGACAGGATGACGTGGAGGACCATGATCAGTGGTAACCTGAAATTTAAACAATGGTTGCAATCGAAACAAGCATGGGTTGTGTTACCGTGGCAATGGAACTTGAGTAAATATGTTACCAATTTTTAGAATTCCCAAAATTGCAAGAAAGAGAAAAAAAAAATTCTTACACACACAGACGAGCTTTCATACGAGCACATTTTTTCT